CTTTTATTTCCATTCAAAAATAGTTGTTTTTAATCTTTTTTTTACATGTTATTATTTTAATATTTTTATTTTTCCTAACCCAAGTTACCAGATATCCTATTTGTTTTGGAATAAATTGCAGTAAAAGGCCAAATTGAAGCTCAAGTTTGAAAAGAGAAGATTGAGTTTGGACCGGAGCCCAAACCCATCATCAACAACTCAATTAAACAAAGATAAGCCCAAGTCTCCTTCCCCCAAATTCAAACTCACGCAAGAAAAAAAAATGCTTCCTGCGATTGAAGCTAGCGCAAGACCAGGAGAGGAGCAGCGACCTATTCAAATCGGCAGTAACGCATCTCCTTCAACGTTCGACCATGAATTGCTCTCCAAATCAAGTCAACAATGGCTCCTTGTTCTCTCTCTTCACTCAAAACGCTCCAACGGAAAAAAATTCCTCTCGTCTATAAATTGAGCACGGAATTGTAGTTTCAAGAGGAGGGGGGAACAAACCAGAGAGCTCCATTCTTCAATTTCTTCATCTTCTTCTTCTATAGGTACCCAAATAAATTGGCTTCCGGACTTAATCCGGAAGTCAACCCTTTAAATTTTCAATTCTTTTGTTGTTTCTATGTTCAAGTGTTGTTTTTTTTCCCAATTTATCACTTTTATTTGTTACTTGTTCATGTAATTGAATCTGAAAAAAATATAACGATTGGTGTTCTTTTGGGTGTATGTTCTTGTTTTAAATGTTTATATATAATCCCTTATGAATGAGAATTGATTCTTTCTTATTTACTTCAATTATTGCACAAGTTGTTGTTAAATTGGTTGAATTGTTTCAAATTCATAAGTAGATTTTATGTAGAATTCGGTTTTTGTTGAAGCTATTTTAGCTCCATAAGATAGTTAAATGAACTCCGAATTCATACGTGTTTCTTTGTTGTGCATGTGTTCGTTGATTTTAAGGATTTTGGACTTCTTAGCCCCATAAGTTGATTCATTTTCCTTAGAATTCGTTATACAGTGATTTTGTTATGTTATATGTTTGTTTTCCATTTTCTTTAAATTGAGATTGTTTAAGTGCAATAAACAATTCTCATTTTATTGAAAATACGTTGTGTTCCTCTATGTGAATAGAAAAAACGTCATTGGTTTGAGAATTTCATGGAAATCTGTGAAATGTGCTCATCATTAGGAGAAAAAGTTTATTAAAATGCATAGGGTATTGGCGGTTTGTGAATAGACTATGTATGAGAGTTGAATGCATAATAGATTCTCTCTTTTATAAACTTTTTCTATAGTGGAAGTATGTTTTCATGCTTGAATAGAGAGTTGGGGTTCTAAGGTATATTTCAAAACGAGCCTTTGAATTGCATGACTCCGGGCCGTGTGGAGAGTTGACAATCCTCCATATCGTGGTTAAGGAAATGAATCGACTCGGCATTTGATTGTTTTTCCTATTCTTAAGTGCGTAAGTTACGTAATATATTGTCTACGTGCCTATTATACGTGTAATGTTTGATTTGTGTTCGTTTTTTTTAAATTTTGTTTCGGGTTCTTGGCGGTGTTTTTCGGGTTACCTCGGTTGAAGAAGTTGATTATCTTTTGAGCTTGTTTTCCTCCATTTTATAAAAAAGAACCAAAAAAATAAGAAAATATAAAAACCAAAAATATTTACTTTTTATTCAACCCCCCCCCCCTCGTGTTTCAAGTTATAAATATAAGTTTTTATACCTTTTTTTAGTATATCTTAAGTATGTGTTTTATGTTTTTAGTTATATTATAGTTCTTGGTTTATATAAGTTATATTTATAAGTTTTTAAATTTATTTAGTTATAAGTTTTATTATAAGTTTTATAAGTATTATCATTTGTGTAGTAGTTTGTTTTTTTTATATTTATTTTCGTGACAATGTGTTTGCATGCTAAATTGGTTTTAAAAAGTACAACATTTCTCCGTGGGATCGACCCTTACTTGCCCTAGCTATAGTTTTTATTTGATTATATATTGGGGGTTAGCTAAGGATATTTATAAATTTTTAATTTGTTTTGGATCGCACGACAAGTCTCCAACAAATTTTGGCGCCGTTGCCGGGGAAATTGTTTTGTAAAAAATCAGTTTCGTATGCATATGTATTCTTGTAAGCATGTTGTAAATACTTTAACTTTACTCGTTTTTTTTAACTTTCTTGTAACTTTCAGTATATATGTGAACTATTAGAGTCGGAACTAACTTTAACTTGTATGCGTCATTGTATGTTCTATATTCAGCCTGAATATACTAACTATGCATGAATTCGTGCCTAATTTTGTAAAAATCTGAACTCTTCTTGCTGTTTTTTTTATAATCTGCACTTTTAGTTTTTTTTCTTCATGCTGTTTTTGCCTCTTAAAATGCTCCTTTGCTAAGAATATGCACTATCATTGATATATCTATCTTAAGGACAATATTTAGATGCAATACATGATGTCAAGGGTAAAATTTGTGAGGTTTTAAGTCCAGTTTTTTCTGGAAAAATCCTGATCTAAAGTTGCTGTTTTTTTTTCTTTAAAAAAACTGTAGTATTTTTTTTCCTTTTTATGTTGATTCTTAAGTTCCTAAGATGCCTTAATACTGAAATTTGAACTCTATTGGCTAAAATACAAGCATTTGAACTAATTTCAAAGTACACGGGGCATTTTGGGACTTGTTTTCTAATCAATATATGCTGATATATGTTCTGAAAATGTAAAAATGGTTAAAAATCTGATTCTGGAGTTTGATTTTTGAGCTTAATTTTTCACAAAGAATCTGATTTTTTTTCCTTATTTAAGAATTTAAGTACTTCTCTTTGTATAAAATTGTCTCGTTTCCTTTCTTTAAAGTGTTTTAAAGAAACACTGATACTGCATTGTTTTCACACTACGTCAAAAACAGAGGCTGACAACTGTTTATTTTAGTAGTCTATAATTGATGTTTTAAGTAGTCTTCCGAGCAGCTGTCTGATGGGATGTTAGACCTCGGTTTAGAACAATTGTGCAAATCAAAATCTGACAACGGTGTTTTGAAGCTTAACACAACTTTGAACATTTGTTGTCTGCTCGCGATTGAGTCTACGATTTTGGATATACTCAGAGAACAGTTTTATTGTGTTGTATATAGAAGTTCAGACAACTACTTAAAAACAACTGTCTTAATTAGTTGTACATAGACTATTACGACAATGGTTTATTGTAGTTGAGATTGATGCGGTTACACTATGTTTTCCAGGTGTAGTCTAATGTTCTATTAGACAGCTGCTCGGAAGACTACTATAAGTAATTCCATCAAACCTCTGCTACCTTCTGTTGTATGTACAACGTTGAGACTATTTCTTTGGTCTTACCTTAAACAACTTTTTTTTGGTTGTATGCCGTCTATTAACACTCCAGTTTATGTTCGTTGTGCTTTAAACATTGACACTATACTTCCAAACAGTAGTTGAATCTGCTACCAGACAGCTGCTCGGAAGACCACTATAAGTATTTCCTTCAAACAACTATTACGTTGGGTTGTATGCATAATGTTCAGACTATTATTTTGGTCTTATCTTAAACAACTATTTGTTTTAGTTGTACAACATCTATAAACAATACTGTTTTGGATCGTTGTCGTACCACCCATTCAAACAATATTTTGTGACAGTAGTCGAAATTCTTATCAGAAAGCTGCTTGTAACACCACTGAAAACATTAGCATTAGAGAACTGTTCTTTTTTGTGGTATATCTAAAACTAAGAATACGATTATGTTTCATATTACACGATTGCAAGTACCAGATGTCTAGCAGGTATTATCTCTACTAGTTTATATAGTTGTCCGTAAAATTTTTGTAATATCAAATTAACAGTAGTAAGGCTGCTTGTCAGTCAAGCGTTTATTTGTGTTGCCTATCATAATCAGATGCTTCTGTTTTATGGCGTTGTGTTGCAGATATTCAAACTATTG